GCTCCTGCTCCTGCTCCTGCTCCTGCTACTGCTAATGCTACTGCTACTGCTACTGCTACTGCTACTGCTACTGCTACTGCTACTGCTACGACGACGGCGTTCGCGACGACGACGACTACTAGTACTGCCGCCTCCACTACATGCAATGACGACGATCGTACCGGCTTTGCTGCTGTGAACGTCATGCCAGCCCGAGAACCACTAGTTGAGATGCTGTGACAAACACTACTGCGTACTTACTACTACCCCGGCTGCTACTGCTCACTGCGTCAACGCGAGACTACCCTTGTTGCAATTCGTCAAGATTGATTGTCTTGTTCAGCTTGGAGCCATGCATGACAAAAAGTCCAAATGCTTCCACGTTTCGACGTTGTCAACTGCATGCTGCTCTTGTGCAGTCAAGGTCGGGTAATAGCAGCAGTAGCAGTCGTAGGAGTGGCATAAGTAGCAATGAGGCTTCGACATAGGTCGGAAGTCTTGGCATTCAATGATACAGTATACATGCATGAGCCTTTGCCTGGATGCCGTCGTTCACTCGCGACAGTGAGCAAATCGTTTGCATCATTTACATTCGACCTCTTCCCGCGGAAACTGCCTTTAATGCGCAGACTGATGCTGCTCTATTTCCCGTCTCATAAAGTGTCTCATTCTATGCATCGACCAAATTACTCTCAGCATCAGTTCTCAGCATCGTGTAGATACATCAAGCTGTGTGATGCGCTTGGTATCCCGGGCTTGCTGCAGGAGCTCCTGTCAAAGACAGCCGAGAACTTCCAGGCATCAGAGACACGCCGGCTGGAAGCAGAGGCGACGTGTTTGCAAGCCAGGGCTTGCAGACTACATGTGGGGAGCGACAACCCTCGCGCTGGAAGTCTCAATTTCGGTTTGCTTGCTTGCTTCCGCCCTGAACCCAGCGGCAAACATGGCGGTTGTGGTTTGATTGTGTGATATCTCGTGTTCTTCACTCGGAACTTGTTGATACATCGCTCCACAAGGACGACATACCGGCATACCGAAAGATGACACATACAAATGTAATTTCAGCTATGGCACAATGAGCCTGCACATTCTGAATCTAAGCTGGCAGAGGGCGTGGCGCACGAGCTCAAGCAGCGAATCGTTCAGCTCGAGGCGCAGCTCAAGAGCAGGCCGCCGGCCCATGACGTTGCCGCGTTTGAGATGCCGTTGTGACTAGTGGCGATGGTGATGATGCAGCCATCATGATGTTTGTGATTCTGATTCTGGGGCTTGTGGTTGAGGTGATGACAAGGAGGACATGCGATTGCTCGCGAGAAAGTTGTAAGCGCGACGGAATTGAAAAACATTGCACTTAGCAGAAAGCATTCAACACAACTACAACTCAGAACACGCGACCAGTGTTGGTGGGCAGTGGCAATAGTCCTGGTAGCAGTCGTACAATGTCGTGGTGGCAGCAGTTGACACAGCAGGTGCAGCAGCAGCAGCAATGTAGCAGTCGTCGTCATAGCGGTATTCTATTGGTCGTGCTAAGAGGTTTATAAGGAGCAGCCGTAGCAGAAGCGCAGTAGCAGCATAGCGGGGTCAGCATCAGTGGTCGTAGTGGTAGTGGTGGTCGTGGTCGCGATCGTCGTCGCATGCTTAACCTTAGCCGTAGCAGCGCATTAGCGCATTAGCAGCTGCAGTCGTAGTCCTCGTCGTCGTGGTAGTACTGCTGGTAGGACTAGTAGTAAGTAGTAAGTAGTAGTAGTAGTAGTAGTAGTAGTAGTATTAGTAGTAGTAGTAGTTGTAGTTGTAGTAATAGTAGTAGT